AATCTTGCTCTTCACCGTGGTTATGGGTGTCACGTTTAATTGGTGTTTTTTTTTTCTTCTCATCATTTTGTGCATGTAGACTAATCAAACGAACGCCAGTTAACGCTCGCGAACCCACGCGGCAGGGTGGAAAATAAATATTGCTCCCACGAGATTGGCACAGCCAAAATTCAAAGAACGCCAAATTAAAGAATGCAATTCAATTTAAAGAAACACTTTTGCTGATCCTGGATTTTCCAATGGGTTAGGCTCGATGGAAGATAAATTTATTTTACTCTTTAACCCAGTTTAAGTCCCACTGGTGACCTCGACAGAATTTCTCCTCACACCGATCGGTTACAACATCAAGCAGAAAAGTAATGAGAATAAAGAAAAGTATCAATTAGTGAATTATTGGTTGATCCAATTCCAAATTCTCCTAACTAGCATCATATGAATTATATGGCAGACTGTAAGGAGATTTACTAATGAGATCTTGGGAGTTAAAGGGTTAACGCTCAAGTGAGTTACTTTAATAATCAAAGCTAAGATAACATATCATGTTGCTATCCGATGAAACAAATAATCCAAATTTTAATCGTTTTAAAAGATCAAACAGTTAGAGCTGAGACGGGCACTAAAATTAACTGAACTTCTTAACGAAGTAATACTGCAAGGTGTTTGATTTCGGACAAGTTGGAGTGAGGCGATTCTACTTTAATTGTTTTGGACATGATCAACTCGGCTTCATACATTGTTTACTTTTAATCCATAATGAACTAAGAGCCCCGCAATTTGTTTCTACACCCACTCTGAAACAGATGGTGCCGAAATGGTTGTTTCCATTACTGTATGAGAGCGATAAATATTTTCAGCTTTAGATGAGTTACAACAATGGTCCACTTTAATTGTACAAATAACTTCAAAACGCAGTTGTTATTCATCAGCCCGGTAAATCGTCATTGACTGATCAAACCTCTTGCCTTCGATATGTTGGCATTTCGCATTAAGAATGAAGACAAACGTCGTGTTCTTAACGACTAAAACTACACAAGGCAAGTTGCTTCAATCAACTTCTTTATTCAACTCCCTACTTACAGGATATACTTACAATGATATAGAGCTAAATTAATGATCACGTGATTACATAAAATCCAATAAGCATACACCTAACAGCGGATGTTACATCAACACAACATTCCCCCATACTTATTTAAGCGATGACCTAAGTGTGTAAATATTATTCGTCATAACCTAAACGAATTGGAGGCTTACGGTCACGACTGGGGTAACGAGTTAGTTTGCGTTTGGCGATGCCGATGTTTCGGCAAGGATTCTGGCTTTGGCATTTCGTAGTTCTGGTTCGGAACGATTGGTTTTGGCGCGTTAACCCTTGTATTCGGCGTGTGGTTGTAACTTTTGTCACGCATTTGGTCTACATGCCGTTTCCACACTTGTTCACCGATTTGTGTTTTATACGACACTGGACCCGTACGTTCAACCACGGTGGCTTCTGACCATTTTGGCACACCTCGAAAGTTTTGGACTTAGACCTCCTCTCCGATCGAAAAATCACGTTCATTCGACTTGCGATCATGTTCCGCCTTGTCGTACATTTGTCTATCGGAGATTTTGCGACCTAGGTTTGGACGCAATAGGTCCAATCTAGTTCTCGGTCGGCGTTTTAGAAACAATTCAACCGGCGTTTGACCTGTTACACTACTCGGCGTCGTTCGATTACTGAATAGAAATCTCGCCAAGCTCTGCGTTATTGACGAACTTCCTTCAGTTTTGAAGTGTTGCTTGAACGTCTGAACGAAACGTTCCGCCTGTCCGTTTGACCTCAGATGATACGGGGCGACTAGCGTGTGTTTTATTCCATTTTGTTTCATACAATCTGCGAATTCTCGCGAAGTAAACTGTGGACCATTGTCGCTCACTAATTGCATCGGTACACCGTATCGAGCAAACATATTTCTCAGTCTCTCGATCGTTGACTCACTGGTCACGCTAGGCATTATTTCTACTTCTAGCCATTTGGAGTGACTATCGACCACTACAATAAATATCTTATTCACGAATGGACCGTCGAAATCGATGTGAATTCTCTACCAGGGCGTGTCTGTTTTCGGACCTAGCAACGTCACTAAAGGCTTGTGATCGGTTACCAACAAAAATTTGCGTCCGTATAGATATTGATGAAATTTCTTAATTCCAAAGATTATACCAAGGGATTGTTTCTCGATTTGCGCATAATTTCTCTCACTCTTGTTCAACGTGCGCGAAGCGAATGCGATTGGTTTCTCTTCGCCGTTCGGAAACACGTGTGAAATTACCGCTCCTATACCATATTGCGATGCGTCAGTATCTAACTTAAGAGGCAAATTATTCTGATAATGCACCAAAACTGGGGCTTTCGCTAATTTGTCTTTAAGTTTTGCGAATGCGTCCTCTTCCGATCTCGACCACTTCCATTTAATCCCGTCACGCAATAGTTCATTCAATGGATGCGTTACCATTGAATAATTGTTTTAGTAGTTAACCATCCCAAGAAATGATCGAAGTTGCTGCCGATTTTCAGGAGCTGGCGCGTCACGAATTGCCTGAACTTTCTTCTCAATCGCGTGCAACCCGCTTGCATCGACTCGGTATCCTAGATACTCAACTGATGGTTGCATGAATTGACATTTGCTTAGCTTCAATCTTAAGCCTGCGTTTTTCAGCCTCGTCAACACCTCGTTGAGATTACTGATGTGCTCTTGATCGTTTTTGCCTGATATTAAAATATCATCCACTCGGCAAACGACCATTGGTATTGCTTGCAATACTTGCTCAATCTCAGACTGGAAAATTGCACTCGCGCTGGAAACGCCAAAAGGTAGTCTAGTAGGTCTATAAAGTCCCTTGTGGGTATTGATTGTTACAAACTCCCTCGAGTTTTCTTCCAGCAATATTTGCTGATAGGCGCGCGATAAATCTAGCTTCGTAAATTGTGCTCCGCCGCTCAAAGCAAGGAATAACTCCTCTAAATTTGGAAGCGGATGTTGGTCTACCTCCAAAGTTGAGTTAACTGTCACTTTGTAGTCCCCACAAATCCTTACGCCCCCATCTGGTTTCACTACGGACACTATGGGTGCTGCCCAGTTAGAGAAACGAACTTTCTCTAACACTCCCATATTTTCTAGTCGATCAAGCTCTTGCTCAATAGCCCCCTTAATTGCATGTGGCACTGGTCTAGGCTTATGAAATTTTGGTACAGCTCCGGGTTTAACAAACAATTGAACCTTTGCGCCCTTGAGTGTTGCCAGTTCATCCTTAAATACTTCTGGATGTTTATCTAATACACCATCAAGTTCATTACTTATCTTCTTGATTGTAGGCTAATTGAGCCTAATCTTGGAAAGCCAATTACGTCCAAACAGACTCGGACCGCTTCCTTTGATGATTTGTAATGGCAACCTCTCGGTTTGGCCTTCGTACTCAACGTCAACCATTGCTTTGCCGAGGACTGTCAGTGGTTCCCCTGAGTAGGTTGACAGTCTCGCGCTCGATTGTCGGATTGTGTTGTGGTTGGACACGCCTCTTTCCACGTTTCTTCTGACATTACAGACAGGGTCGCTCCAGTGTCCAGTTCCATCGGGATCTTTGAGCCATTCATCTTGATGTGAATTAGGATTGCTGGTTCAGCTGTTTCGTCCTCCACTTTGAAAATGCTGAAGTTTCCCGCTACGCCTTGCTCGTCTTCCAAGTAACGTACTGGGTTGGAGTTCTTAGAGACATTTCCTCTCTCTGGTTTGGAGGCTCCCTTTTTTCTGCAAACCTTTTGGATATGCCCCTTGCATTGACAGAAATGACACGTTTGATCCTTAAACCTGCACGTTTGTGGTGCGTGGCTTCCACCGCAACGGAAACACGATTTCTGCTCTGTTGGCTTTCTGCCTTGCTTGTTCTGCGTACGTGCTGGTAGCACATTGATGTTTGAGGGCGGTGCCACTGGTCGGAAATGGTTCGCCTGCTTTTCTGCTGATTCCATGGCTATGGCCGTATCAAGGGTCTTTTTCCAAGTTAGTTCGGTTTCAGTTAGCAGCCTCTTTTGGATTTGCCTGTTTCGCAATCCACAGACAAATCTGTCCCTTAATGCTTGCTCAAGGAATCCTCCGAACTCGCAGCGTTCCGAACACCGTTTTAGTGCTGCGGCGTAGTCCACCATTCCTTCCCCTTCTTCTTGACCACGCTTGTGAAAGTGAAGACGCTCCGCAATAATGATTAGTTTCGGTTGGAAATGGTTGCTCAACGTTTCCAACAGTTCTACAAGCTTGAATTCTGAAGGCTTGGCTGGGGCCTTTAAGTCCCTCAATAGGTTGTAGCCTTTGCTCCCTACGCTCGTCAAGAAAACTGCTACAATCCTTCTTTTCGTCTTTGAGCTCGTTCGCTATAACGTACTGCTCAAATCGCTTAGAATACGAACTCCAGTCCTCCTTAGCTGGGTCATAGGATTCTATCGATCCGATGGTAGTCATCCTCGTCGCCAGTTGTCGTGTTCTTAACGACTAAAACTACACGAGGCAAGTTGCTTCAATAAACTTCTTTATTCAAATCCCTACTTACAGGATATACTTACAATGATATAGAGTTAAATTAATGATCATGTGATTACATACAATCCAATAAGTATACACCTAACAGCGGATGTTACATCAACACAACAATAAAAATGATCATACAAGGGGTGAAATTATCGCCAGTATTGGCTAATCTACGCCGCCAACAAATAAAATATGCGTTATTATTTTGCAATATGTTGTTACACTCTCTAAATAGATGACTCAAACCGTGGCAAATAAAAAAAATCAAATGCTGAGGAAACACCAAGAGTGTTTTGAAAGATCTTTCATGTGTAGACGATAGCAGTGTGGATCAGCTTTGTGTGCTTTGTGTGCATTTTATTGCTCCAAGGAATGTCAGAAACAGGAAAAGTGGCGACATGAACGTAACCCGATTGCGACGATGCAGCGTTGAAAATGAAACGTTTGGCTTGTGGCGATGTACATGAAGGAATGAAGAAGTGTGTAAACTGCTTGGAAGCCGTCTACTGCAGCGTCGAATGTCAACGAAGCCACTGGCCCCAACACAGACCTTCGTGTCAGACTACTGTCGAAAGAGTTTTGAAACTGGTTGAAAAATTGAAAATGTTTAGTGAGTCGAAAGAGAAAACTCCTGGTCTCGCGGCCACGTATTACTGGGGCAATCAGCCGGCCGTGGACACGATCAACTTGTCAGTGAATGAAGGAGAGGAATATTCCAACCCGCTCGCTTTGTTATTGTGTGGAGTCGGCGATCTCAGAAATGTTCTGCTGACCATTGCATCTTTGCCTGATGTTTACCAAAAGCAAGTTATGTTTGTGATGAACGACATATGTCCCTGTACTTTGGCTAGAACAGTACTGCTTCTTTACATGCTCTATAAAGGTATGACTCTCTCTATCGATTTGCATTGACTAATAGCCCTTTCCAAGTTGTCAGGATGCAAACTCTTCGTCATGCATTTTTAAAACCAATCTCGTGAAATGCAAATGAAATCGTTAAATCATTTTTCGTTTTGTGAACCCTTGAGGTCAAAGTTATTTGGATTGATTGCAATATTAAAAGATCTTTTACTACTTTTTTCTATTCAAATCTGTGTTATGTTTTATTTTTTGCTCTTGCTGTCGCCTTTATTACGCTTGCTATGTATTCTGTTGCGGTTGTAATAAATGCCGAACGAACTATCAAGTAATTGGTAAGTAAGTTTTGAATGCTATGTCGAATGTAATTACGTATTTTATTGGTGTTTCTTTTCTGGACTTTGTGATCGGTCTACAGAATTTTCGCTCAACCTTCTTACTCAATCAAGGGGCAAACTGAGATTTCTCCATTTTGTCCACGTTAAATTGAACTCTTTTGTCCACTTTCGATTTGATTGCGTTGCATCCACTCAAGGCAATCGTGACAGACGATAGATGAGGGAAGACCACTGTTTGACTTAAAAAGCCTCAGGTTAAAAACTCTTGTTCTCTGATCGCAGGAGGAAATGATATGGCTTCAGCAGTGATTCATATCCGGTACTCGCTGCGTATCAGCGAACAGGATTCACTTCGCTGTTGTTAGCCTTACAAGAGCTTGTGGATTCTACTGAGCTGCGCACACTCACTGAGGAATTTATGGACATTCCTGCTGACCAGTTGATCCAGTTGAAAGACGTGTGGAACACGTGGCTGCGCCTAACACAGCGCGAAGGGTCTTGAGTGACGAAGCTACGACAGGAAGCTAACTCGGGTGATTTTGGAAGAGAAGAAGGCATAAATTACTACATAACGTCATTCCCAAATATCACAAGAATTCCACCCGCAGGTATTTTGATACCGGTATTTTTACTTCGATGAAAAATACTAAAGAGCTTAAACGCGAGAATCCCACTTTGACCGGTCGTGGATTTCAACGGTTTTTTCGGAACTCTGACTTTCACTACAGGCTACCGACCGACGTACTTCCGTTTATCGGGTGGGATTATAATGCAGTCAAGAAAGTTTGTCATGACAAACCTATAACGCGAATGTACAGCATCTATATATCGCTTGTTCTTAACAAATCGATGGAAAAACTCAGACGAAATTGCATTAAATGTTACTTCATTCTATCTGACTTCCTAAATGTCGAAGCTCTCTTGCCAGCAGATCTGAGATATGATCGCATCACCACTTCTAACCTATGGGACTATCTGATACACTCACTGTTCTATTGACGAAATTCAAGGGCCTGCTTTATAAAACCAATCCTTACGCGGTAATGTCCATTGAGGCAATCAACTGGGTTCGAAATTACATGCCAGAAGTGATTCACCTCTTGCCTAATATGATAGGCCTGGATGACCTCATCCAGAAAGCTTTGAAAGACACACGAAACCCTGAGCTGACTAATTTTATCTGGAATGTCGGCTGTTGTAGAATACTTGAACCTAACTCAACGATTCGTCATGTTTCTATGCGCGTCTCTCCTCTTTCTTAACACAGATGAAGATCTTGCATCGTTAAAAGGGAAAAAGAAAATCCCCTCCTTAAAATCTTTGGTTGCCTCACTTGGGCTCCATCTCCGTGACTTTGTCAGATGCAAGAACACAGTGTTCCCATTTAAATGGACCCTGAACTGCCGACGCCCGACCATGTTGAGGGCTACGAGAGAACATTGGAATGGAAACTTCTCTCTTCAGATGAGGGTATTGAAGATTCAAAAGAATGAATCGAAAATTGCCCCCTTAACTCTTACTGACCCAACAGTAAAAGAGAAGCATTTAAATTTTGTTGAAATATTCGAACACGCACGAATATATACTCGAACACTTTCGAATGTATTGAAAAGGCTAGGGCCCGCTTTTTTCTCTCTTTTTAATGTGAAGAAGAAGTAAATCAATAAAAATCAGAAAAACGACCTTTACGAAATAAACTAACAAAACAAGACAATAAAATAAATACATAAATACGACGCGAAAAAAAACTTACCAAATGCTGAGGGAAATATAGGAAACACGAAACACTCGCACGAAGGGGGTTTAAACAGAACTAAAAGAAAAAAGTATTTCTAACGGCTTGAAACGAGAAATGTACAGGGCATAGCAATTTACATAACGCAAACACGACACTGAATAAATGGATGCTGAAGTGAAAAAACGAACAGAATGCGCGTAAATTAGTTGGTACTAAAATAAAGCCGAGAAAGTGTTAAAGAAAATCAAGAAATCAAAAGTTCTCCACAATACATGTATGTATCTTTCCATCATATGAAAGCAATAGTATCAAATTAAGACCAAGAGATCATATTTCTTGATTAAGACTGTACACTGCTGTTGGTGATACACAAAAAATATAGACTCATAAAACATATGCATCAATTACCAACTTCACTGAGTCAGTTTTTCTTGGTCTTAAAAGTTTTATAGTTTGGTTTAACACTCTTGTCAATCCTTGTAATGGTGCTATTTTTTTGTTTTACTCTTCTAAATATCCAAGCTGACAGAGGCTGACACAAGTCTCGTTTATAGCACTGGTAAAAATACCTACGTTCCTCATTTGATTAGTTTACATTGACGTCCACCCGAGTAAATTTTATAGATCTGCTCCTTAGCGGTAACACAGATGTTCAGATTACAATCTTCAAGCTTGCTGACCCTTGTCAAATATGAAGTACTTAAGGACCTTCTGAAAGGCATTTGTTATCATGAAAACAATAGCATATTCAGTTTTATCCAGATTTAATCCTTCGTTGAACACTGATGTGTCTCCTCCTTCCTTGAAGGACTTTCTAAGACGAATCATAAGCATCTAGGACTCAAAAAGGTGACATAATGAAAGTGCTTACTTAGTGATATGGTTGTTGTTGGTATCGAAACACCTCCGCATCACTTCGTGAGCTCTTAGAAAACATTCTTGGACGAAAGTTTCCTCTTAATGTATAAACACCTTAACCTTTCCTTAACCATTCAACAAGCTCTATTATATTCTCTAAACCGTGCTTGTGACAGGATCACAAAGAACACAAATCATCGGTACTTATGACATATTTTAATTCCGCAAAATATTATGATGAAAAATGAACAATTTGCATGCAAGTTGAATACTCACTTGAATTACGCTTTAGTCCAAAGCGGTATCAGCATAGCTAATCTACCTTCGCCCTGACAACTACCCTTTAGCCTGAGGTTTCGTTCAAGAGGGCACCGAGTTCCCTGGCATCAACTTAAAAGAATTAACCCAATCCACCAACCTTTTTTTGACTTTTTAAAACATAAAGGAAAAAGATTTTCCTTCATGATTGCGAAAAAATTTTAGATTTTATTTCCTTAATTTTAACCAGCATGAAATTACATTTTGTTGTTTTCATCATCATTCTTTGTCATCTCCTTTTTCTTCTAGTTCTTCACTGTTCGTCCCTTTAATATTATTCTGTTTTTTGATTACGGAAACGTACTTTCCTTGCCTACAGGTACAAAGCAACTATTAGAAAAAGAAAGCAAAAAAAAGCGCAGTCTTTTGTTGGTATTTATTTCATGCGTGTTAGTCAAAAAAAACGTAATAATTTGTTTTTGTTTAGGAGATATATTTACCTTAATTTCCTCGCCGTTATTTTAGTCTCTTGCTTTTTGAAAGTGCTGAGAAAGCCAAAGCTCCTTTACTGTCATGTGGCCGATACTCAATATAGAAACCTGTTTATCGCTTTCCGTCTTATTAATCAACGCAGAAATTATCCTTTTTAGACAATTACTATAAAATTAAACACGATGTTCAAACCTCAGTTGGCCTAAGAGGTAACTTAGTGTCTGAGGAAATGATAAATTTTATCAATACTCACACAAACATACAAAAGAACAAAACAAAGTAAAAGCAGAACCATTAAAGGTAGAAAAAATATGTGGAGGACTTTGTACAGCGGTTATGAGCTATTCCAAGTGAAATGTTCCATGTGTCTTTTTAAATCAGTTGTAACTCTGCAACATGAATCAGAATTAAGAACATGAGAGAACTTCTTCGATGATGTGCCGTCTAAACTATTGAGATCACTGTAAAGATCCGGTCTGAAGATCTGGTGTTAAATATAATACTTAATGATTTGAAATAGGGTCAGAACTTGGAGAACAAAGCGTTTCATCCCTTCTTAAGAATTCTTGGCACTTAACTTATTATTAAACTTAACAGCCCACAGTTCTCGATTAATTCTTTATGATGCTTTTAGTTCATGATAAAAATTATACAAAAGTTCCCTAGCTGTATCTGGCCCGAGTTCCGTTCATTCATTTACGATTCTAAAAGCCTCGAGTCCGTTTGGAACCATGAAAGCAACAACAACAAAATCGACTAAAAAGAAATGACAACAAAACAAACAAACAAAAGTGAAAAGAAGCCTCGCTAACAATGTTCAGTTATCTTAATCTCGCACTAGAGAGGGAAGTTTTATGGCGCACATTTCTTGTTCATCTTACAGGCAAGCACGTCCATTTGTTTGCCATCGCATCAGTCATTCACCACAAGTAAGATGCATAGTTTGTTGAAACATAGCTAGTCCAGCAATCAACTCAAACATTCAACTTAATTCTATTTAGTCAATTCTTACCCATATTTACACTTGAAAAATGACGTTTCCTTCTCCTTGTGTCTCTCTTGGTGGTATTCATCTTCTCACACAAAACACTCTTAATAGATTTTTTAACCTAATGAAAATTTAATTAAAAGAAGTTCGTCACTTCATCCATCTCGTCGATCATAAATTTTCCTGCATTTAAGTCTGTAATAAGCAAATTAAGATTAACCTGCCGTTTGGGGATAAAAAACTAACTGCTCGCAGGGTAAAACTGAGGTAACCAATTTGAAACAACAAGTAGCAAACCAAAAGTACCTCAGGAATTCATACATTCTACTTTACATGGTACTATAACTTCATAGTAAAGCGACGTTTGTAATGTAAATGTAAAACTATATTCATGCAAATTCTTCCCCTTTTGCCCTACTTCTGAGCTTCAGACCGCTTGCTTTTGAAGACAATGAGTTTTCTTTCGCTTAGCTATTTCACGTAATTTCAAAAGTCTACACAATTTAAATACTATATATGTACAAGGAAAATCATAGGGAACAATTCTTGGTCTTTCGGAGCTTATGAAAAAAAAATTAGAGACTTACCGAATCGTCTAGAATGCAGAAGCTCACAAATATGAAAAGTCCTTGGAACGAATTCAATATGGTGAATATGTAATGAAACACTGCTGTTGATGTAATGAACGTGAGAAAGCCAAACGACCACGTGACAGCCAGAACTGGCAGTAGCATTGCAAAACGTCTCAACCAATCCTTCACGTGCTTGGCAGGTGTTTTGTTGTTTTTGGTTTTAGTCGCTCTGAGTATCCGACGAAGCAAGAAAATGAACAGAATTGAGTTGATCTAGAGGCAAAAATTCACAAGAGGATTGATAAAAGAAGAAAAGATAGAAAAAAACCAAAACGAAGAAAAACAAATAGAAATCCTGCTTCTAGTCTCTGCTTACGAGTGTTTTGCCCTCAGTACTACAAGTATACACGTAGTTTACCATTCCTTTTATTCCTACGATTTTCTCATCCCCAACTGAGCTTCTTAACTATGATGACAATCGTTTTGATTAAGCCAAAAAATATCATCGGATATTTGTTGGAAAAAATCCTCCGGTGCGATACCTCACATATTAACGGTGTCTGCATAAAACATATCTTACACCATAAAAGGAGCGCCATTGTTAAAAAAGTATACTTACTAATAGGATTATGGCAACTGGAGCAACAAACGCCCAATAAATGAGCCAATGTTCTGTTGTAAGCCAACAGTTATTTGCTGCATAAGACTTGATTCCAGTTACTGTCAGAGAAATGGCCACTATTAGGACTGGAACACCTGGAACAGCCAGAAATTAATTAAGTATTAACAAAAGCAACTACCAAATTTTCTGACCCTTTTAAATGAGGCGTTATATTTTGGTGCTTAAAAACGTCTAATGCATGTGGGGATGAAAATGTACTTGTTCAAGGAATGTTGCTCTTACCCCATCCTAGAGCGTAGAACCATTTCTTTTTCAATGCCAGAATTTCTTGCCGTTCAGCCTTTAATATCACGAAGTACAATATGACACCATGACAGAGCATCCAGGAAAATACAGACAGGAGGGAATAATGGAGTAACACTGCTGTTGTTGTGCATAACTCCTGTGAATGTAAAATAAATCTATGAATAAATGAAAAATATCATATGATAAGTAAAATTAGGCATGAATTTTGATCGGATCTTTTCTATGATCTGTTAAAGGAGAGAAGCACCGATTACGTCACAAGTAAGACTGTTCTACTTCCTTATATTGAGCAATTCCATGCTGCCATGGCTCTGTTTTGTATTAGATCACAGAAAACTCAAGATGAATCACGAAAATCCACGACACACGGGTGCGCCCCTTTGCCTCCTTTCTGGTCTTACTTCATTTTTATCTCATATTTGATCTATTACTGAACAGAAGTACAGAAGTATAGACACAGTTTTTTTAAAAACGAGTATCGAAACACATTTGATATTTACCTTTGGTCTTTCTGCTTTTCCAGCTATAATAATTAGAAGACAAGAGACCGAAATGGCAGCAAACAAATGCAGTAACATTGTTATCCGAAAACTTCTCAACTTTTTCCAACAGGCTAAGATTGTCACACAAGTGAGCACCAGAAAGAAAAGTGAACATGCGCAACCTACAGTAGAAATATATTTGAAGTACGGCTGATGACGAGATTTTACCTGAAATGAAAACCAGAAAAAAACTGTGTGGGAATTTTTATGAATTAGGCAACAAGTAGCAACAAGAAAAGAAACAAGAATTTAAATAAGTGGAAGTTGTTTAATATATTAAGAGGTAAAAAATACGTTGTGAGTATTTTATTTTGACGACTTGAGACCAGTGACAAATAGGAAAAAGTAACAAATAGTAAATCAAGGCGACTTGTTTGCGATTCTATTGATAAAATAAAGACAATGATCGAACAATGTCTATTTCAAAATATCGGACTGAAGAGACTATATATAACACTCACTGGCTTGTTGTTCAGTAAGACTGCAAAGATGGTTAAGTGATCACACTCGCACGTGGTTACGCGCGAGTTTGACTCACGATCAACGCGAACACATCCACGCGTCAGCCACGTCCTCTGGGATTGGTCGATCTCCCAGAAAACGCACTGTCCAATCAAATCAGAACGCTGCAATGAAAGTGTTACGATTAAAACTTAGACAGCAGGATACGTTGCAAAAAAAAAAAAAAGAAAAGAGATAATGCATGAGAGTAATACTAAACTCTCAAAAAGCAACACCAAGCTGATTCCTTTCCCCTATGAAATAATACCCTTTTTTTACTTGGTCTTTAGAACTTACTGTTCAAGAGACGCTATACTGGGGAAAAATTTATATTTCAGCAACCAGAGTCATAAAATTTTCCCTGGAACCTTTATGAAGTTGAATGATGACCTGAGCTGCCAACAACTATAACTGTGCTCAATTGGATAGGTATAGAATAAAAACGATTATCGACGATTACCCTGATTAAGAACTGAGATCTATTTATATCGTCCAGCGGCATTATTTTAACCCATAAAACTGACGGGAGTAGGTTTCCCATGCGCTGTTGTTGCAACTCGTATTACTAACAATACAAAACAATCAATACCTTGTTATTGTGATTAAAAGCCAGCTTGATAGGTTTATTCAGGGAACCAGATACACGATCATGAATATTGACAGAAACAATGCTTGTGCCACTCCTCCGAAGCCTACCTCCGGCGCTCTGATTATTACTGGGTCCATCTACTGGAAGCTTAAGGACATTTTCAAGTGTTCTGTAGGCAATGGTGGACATGCGAGTTTCCACTGTGTCCGAGATCGCCGAGCCAGGAACAAGGATTGTTGCGCCGTATTGAGCGAAGTCAACCTTCAACTAGGAGTGAAAAATACAAATACATATTCACTCAGACCGAAAGGTCACGAAATTAATGAAATATGTCATTAAAACCGATTCATTGTTACAGAAATGTTCCTGAATTAACTAACATTATGTTTCAAAGCAGTCTAAAAAGATTTAACATCGACCTTTGACTTGCCTCATGTTTTGGGTTCCAGCGATCAACTCTAAGAGCGATGTTTCTTGATAATAACTCCGATTTATTAGTTGAGTTACCAAGGTTACTGTTCACTTGAAAAGCAAAGTCGTCCATAGTCTTCAGAAGTATGTCAGTGATGTTTCCCCTTTTCTGGATTTTAACAAGTCAAGTTTAAGATAATAAATTTTCTGCAGTGAATGCAAACAATCGGTGAATAGGCCTATGAAGGCTAGGGTTCCAAAAGCAGCCTTGCAAAATTTAAATCCATTTGTATTTTTGTCCATTAAAGATTAAACAGTCAGGTATTCTTAATTAATAAAAAGAGGGTTTAAAATCACTCAGGGAGATCTTGCTATAAGTATGTTATCTTTCATAGGATTCAGGCCGTTTGTTTAAAAAGCTTTTAGCACTCAACCGGGATTAAATAATGATTACTCTTGGTCTAAATTTCTCTTGTTTGAGGCTTTATTAGTGCCACGTTCCATCCAAACGTAAAGCAAAAATGAACCGAGGAAACAAAAAATAAACAAAAACAAAAGTAACATTTCACAAGAACCTTGGTTTGCTAAATTATGTTTTGGACTACCCATGCCGGTCCTTGGCATATCACCTTACCAAATTAAAAATAAAAGAAAATTAAGTATACCTCATCATGAGAACTATGGACTTATCCGACATATAATCATATAACGTGTGGAACTTGTTGTCTCTCTTTAGAAGAATAAAGTGATGGCTAAAGGACTATTTACCGTTCTGTTTCAATCATGAAAGAGGAAAATATAGCTGGTGATAGGCAAACAAAACAAAGAAAAAGAAATTCAAACTTTTCTCAGGATCAGCAAATTACCTCCTGCAACAGCAACCATGTTTTTGTATTTTCCTCATTCAGTAAATTACTTGCCACTTTCACGATGTTTTGTTGGTCCGATGTTGCGCCGATCGCTCTGTTGTTTTTTATCGAGTTATACTGCACAAGTTGTTTGAGCATATCCACGGAGAGAGAAAGTTCGCTTAAGTTGAGTTTAAGTTCGTCCCCAGTCTTTGTCAAATTGAGAAATTTTGTGATGACCGTGCTTAAGTGGGTGGAAGGGTAACTACCGGTGATAGTGGCATCAACCTGGTCGACAAATTAAGAGTGGTTAGAAAGAAAAAAAACATGATCGCTTCAAGATACACTTCTATTCACGAAGATTTTTATATTACCGCCTCAAGGTTCGGAATGGTCATGGTAACGAAATGCGACGTCACAAAAGGTAACGTGATGGCAAAATATTTTGAAGTGAAAGTGCTAACTTGCTCTCATTTTTAAGGAAAATAACCCCCTTCTAACCGACACAAACGGTTCTATTCTAAGTTTTGGAAAAAATCTCTTATGGCGGCATTTTGAACACCATCCTGGCTGGGGTTGTTCCCATGGTGCGGTGCAGAGCAATACAATAAAGGTTTCCTTCTTAGTTTCTTTATCGAAACTTGTACCTAAATTGTAATGTAAGATTCTAGAAGGTATCCATTCGACAATTTCTCGGGATTTTTCGTTGGGAGAACACCTGCAGCGACTGTTTATTTATGAACAAACTTCCATCATGTAGTTTGATAGTTTTCTGATGGGAAGTTATCAAAGGAACAAAAAAGCCTCATCAAACAGAAGCCTCGACCAATACACTCGACTCTGTTTTTCCGGCACACGCTTAAAACAAATCAAACTTGGTATTAGCTTAGAAAACACCCACGATTTGTATACCTCTTTCTGTAGATCTGTAATTCCGTTTGATTGCCCTGTTGATCAACATGAGGTAATATGTGAATATAAAAAACCATACATGCTCACATATCTTTATTGTTATAGATTTAGTAATTGTGGTTGTAGAAGGTAGCAGTATTTTAATGTTAGTCTCCAAATATGTCTTGTAGGTCAAAATTTCAAAGCATTTCTTTGAACTTTCTTTTGAAATTTATCGGGGAAAGAAAACCCCAAGGAAACGAAGAAGCAAGTGATACAGGTCAGTTAAAATCGGTCGAGTCTAACCTCTGACGCATCGCAACTTTGGGAAATAAAAGATTCTCCTAGAAAGTCTATTTTTGTCTCTTTTTGTATAAAGAAATAGTTGGACAACAATATAATTACCGTTTTTAGGAAGATGTTTACAGCATCTGAACTTGTCAATACAGTTAAGTTCATCGCAGTTACTTTTGTAGAGACCGCTCATGTAATAACCATTCTTCTGGCATTCACTCCAACCTTCGTTGTTGAATGAAATAGCAACATCTTCATCGTAACAGTCTTCATAACTGCTGGGATGATCCGTTGGATGGCAACATCTTGCCTCATCGATGTGGTTCAAAAATGAACGAAAGGGACGATGAGATCCAGTTCTGATGCCATTCATGTAAAAGCCTTTTGGACACAAAGCCCAGATATTATGTCTTAAAAAAAAGGGAACAAAAATAAATTGAGCCTGAAATTTCTTGGTTTCTACTTTTTTGGGGGTATTACTTTTGGCGAAATTGGCATTGATCAAAGTTATTATGTTGGAGTGTGACATAGAAAAGGCGCGACATTCAAGAAGAGTTTGGCTCACCCATCCAACGTGCGTGACCAGTTTGCATTCACACATCTTGAAGGCTGACCGGCGTAACGCGGCTCCGCAGCATCGCAGCATTTTCCTAGTTCCAAGCGTCCAACTCTCTCATCTCCGGTTTTGTTTGAACTCCTCCAGAATCCCTTTAGGTAGGTGTTATTTCTTGGACACACCGACCATCCCGGGGTCCTATCCAGGCTTTCCCACCAGTTGCTGTTGTTACATCTCTCGCTCATGACACGATGGACCATAACAAATATCAGCATCAAACTGATCAAATGAATGATGAACACAAATTGCATCCTACTTTCACTTTACCTCGATGTGACACTGCAAAGAGAAAGTTCAGTGCTATGAATTAACTTTAGGGAAGAAATCTCTTAACCTCTGAATGTCCTTTGACATATATTTTTTCACCTAATTTGTGCCAGAAATCAACTCCCTGACTCAACTCTCTAGGTCAACCGTAACAATCGAAGCTTACTTATGGCGCATAGCGAGGCCCTGTTTGCTAACTTTAATATGGGATGAAAAATGATAACGTTTGATAATTGTAGAGTTGTTGTTTTCAGTGTCATTGCTTTTTTTTTGCGTTGTTTGTGGCTACTGCCTCCTATAGGAGGCGAAGCCACAATTGTGGTCGAATTGAGTGAGTGAGTAAATAACACTAGTGACAATAGAATTCTGATCTTTACCCAAGTTTGACCCGATGTTTCCCGGTGCTACTTATTGTTTGTTTTGAGTACTACAAAATACGATAAAAATTCACAATCATTTCAGGATGATGCCTGAAAAAAATACTGCTTTTCCTTGCAGAAATATCTAAAAGGTGCCATCGACACATCATGGAAACTTTTTTTCTTTCAAAAGAGAGTGTAACCGAAGTCACGCGTAACTGTGTTCATCACTTATTTAAAAACGTCCACACGCCAAGGCTACTCAACATGAATAGGAAAATATATGTTGGAAACGTAGAGGTAACATTTTTTCTTTGAAAAGAGAGTGTAACCGATGTCACGCGTAACTTTTTTCATCATTAATTTAAAAACATCCACATGTCTTGGCTGCTAAACACGAGCAGGAGAATTTAATATTGGAGAACGAAAACTTGCAAATAAACTAATAAAAAAGAAAAATATTTACCTTCACGGTGCATAGTTTTACAGGCGAAAAACGAAAACGATGCCGCTTCTCAGAAGTGAAAAAGTGGATGTAACCATTTATCCATTGGACGAAATTTATACATAAAACCTGACAAAGTACTCGACAAAATTACCTAACATTTATGGCACAAACATCAACCATAAGTGCACAAAGCAACTAACGAAATGTAGGAACACTCACAGGTATTAACACTGTAATAAACACGTAAACGCAACACGCACAGGAAACGGTATGACAATAAGTTTCGCGATTGCAGAGAGCATTTTACCGTTTGAATCATCGAGTTATACTATGTAGATGGAAAGATATAATTTCTTCAGTTTTTTTCGAGCGAGCATTTTACCATTCCAATCAGCGACCGATACCCAAAAGAGCCAATAAATTTTTTAATCGAGCAAGGCTCGAAGTACGATATTTTGAGTTTAACAGGGTGACCCTGGGCGACGAAATGATGGAACACAGGGCTCCTGTGGAACGGTGGAATATCCTAAAACGTAGAATGTCTTGTTGTTTGAAACAAAAGTCTCACAAAAATGGAATTGCAGTGAAATAAAAGAATATAATTTATAATTAATAGGCAGAACTAAAAGAAGCATAGTTTAATCATTGTGGGAGCCTAAAGGATGGACTGATAGAGCTAGCCTCCGTGATTAATTTTTATTAATATCACTATTATTATTATTATTATTATCATTATCATTACTATTATTATTGTTAATATAATTATTTGTTACTATTAAATCAGAGGTTGAGTGTCAATCAGTCTTTTTCTTATTGAATCATCTAGTTTCTCTTGTGGAATAGGATACTCTTCATAAATATGTGGGATGTGGTAGGTTTTCTGTTTTGCTTTTGAGACAAATCTTCAAGGCTACCTTCTAGCATCAACATGCAACTTTTAATTCTTTTCCATGCTATTAAAATTATGCTATATTGGTAGCCACATGCACTCTCAAACTGCTTATTTTCTTGTTTCTCTTAAGGTAAGTTTAGCACACGCGACAGAAGACAAACGACACATGAATGTTATAAAATCTGTTAAATACTAGTTAAAAGTGAAAGAAAAGCAATATCGAAAAGTGGGCTACCACAAGGTTTGCAGGTTTCCGTATATATGTTTAAAAAGATTTCGCTCGTTGTTGCTATGAAAGGTTAATTTTCTTCCGAGATTTAGGAACTATTAACTTACGCGTAGCAAATTAGTCTTTCCTGTCAATTGCTACCTTGACCCGTTAAACCCTAAGAGTGACAAGCATTAAATTTCTCCCTGCAATATCCCACATTAAGGTCATGAGAAGAAAGGAAATGATCACCAACGAAAGAAGCTTTTGATCGGTAAACAAATTCTCTTTGTCAGCACCTTTGGAAATGCCGTAGAACAGTACGGAGAATATGCTTACCTGTGCCACTGTTTGTGTAGCAAGTTCAGCAGTGCCTATAAGATACAATACACAGGTTTGTGAAAAACTTAAATAAGATAGTTAGTAACACAAAAAAGGCATGGCAGCTGAAAGGAAAATAATTTCAAAGAGTTGTTGTTTTTTTTTTGCAAAAAAGATAGTTGTTTAACTTTGAGCCGAAAAGGACGATTCTGGTTAAAAGCAGGCAAAAGGTAGAGGCTTATTTAAACGGCGTTTTCATGACCTTCAGAAATATTTAGTGTATTTTTTTCTTGTTGATCAAAGAACTCTTTCAAGTGTCGTTTTATTTTGTATCCTTTTAAGGACACTTCGAATGGTGTTATAAAGTGTTTTGAATATTCGGATATCATGACCACAAGAAGTTCGCTAGTTCGCACGTGTCTCAGTCACAGACTTCAACGTTTTTCGTTTCTGAAAACTGAACAACGTCTTCTGTAAGATATTCTGCGCAGAATGTAAGTGATGTCGTCGTTAATAGTTCCCTACGTAGTTTTACTTTAAGTCTTTTTTGCTATTTGTTCTCTATCAACCACAATGCTGTGCTGTTTCCAAGTGTAAAATAAAGCGGATTAAAGAGTTCATCGTCATATGAGCGTGCCGCCACAACAATAATTACAATTTTAACTTTGTTATTTATTCAGATCATTGCTTCCTCTGGACAGAAGAATTGAACTGTCTCAGAAACACGAGCCTTTATGGTCTACTTTGCCGGTCCAAAACTGTTGGATTTCACATGCTAAAATAAGTTGTTTGGTGAAGTGAAGTGAGTTGATAACGTGAATTGGCTTCCGTATAGAGTTTATAAAGCTGTCGTTTTTAGCGTTTGAATCGATGCTAGCATCAATGTCTGGCTTGAACATGTTACTCAAATATGTCCCAGAATGCTAGAAATCACATCTGAGAGAGTCTCAAATTTCAAATTTATTTGGGTTAGCAGAGTGAGTCCATTCCCTCCACATAAATGATAACTGATGACCTCAAATGAATTGCTGTCATTAAAATCGTCAATGACCAATCAGGAGTTATCATGGTAACAATCAAAGTAAAGGGCGGTGATATGAACCAGTTGAGGCACCGCTTTTAGACCTGGTATAATTTATGTATTGTTCAGTATGTGGGAAAGCTTTAACAGCTCCGTGATTTATTTCCATGGGTCTTTAAAATATCCGTAAGGCGAATATAACCCGAAAGAAGAGGCTGGTTGCTGTGCGCCCATTCGACGTTTACAACAAGAACGGCAAAGCTAAATAATGTTACAGAACATAAATGGTCCGCTCAAAAAGTGGACTAACTTTCCAAAAGGTGTGGATAGCAGAAGATATTTAACGAATTTAAGAAAATAATGACGATGAAGATGACAGAAGAACTATCGAAACAAGTTTTTTAATAAAAGGGCTCTTGGAGCCAGCTCATTCATGTTATGCCTTGAGTTTGTATCGATTTCTTGGACTTGTTGAGTATAGGTACAGTTGAATTCGGTTTATGTGAAATTTCAAGACTTATGGATTAAATTTTCTTTTCTTTTTGGACAGTTATGTGATAAGAAAACTTGTGCATTTGTCGTGATGGGAATTGGAAATAAGGTTGTGTGGACTGGAGGTGGGATGGGTAGAGGTCGTCAGGCAGATAGTGTCCTTTTTGTTGGTGTGTGGGTGTGTTTGTGGGGCGGAGGGTGGGCTGAGTGGGCATGATCAGGCATCGAATGTTGCTCTAGCAACAAAATATTTGTAACCCTCATTCTTCACGATAATTTGCACTATTGTGAAATATTCCTTGCCCGTTTCTTGATATCTTTTGTTTTTAAAAAAGCGGCCGTTGCATTTGGTTTTTAACAGAGCGGCCACAATCGTTCTTAATAGAATTTCAAGCCTTCATATAGTCTTATTTCCACATATTAATATTTGCGTAGTCACCAAACAGATGAGAGATAAAACCACCAGAAAAGTAAACAAATGGCCAGTCACGTTGAAAATATATCAAGTCGAGGGAACAGTTTTGGTCCCGGTCCGCATTTTTGTCAACAAAGAGAACACAGATCGGTTAAAAAGATGAAACGTATGGAGCACGTGCAAAGCTGTCAATTGTTTCTCGAATACTGCGCGTGTTCAATATTCGATGGTGACATTTCATTTACATCTACATCCACATCCACTTTTGTTAAAGGCCCATTTCCAACCTTAATGCAACGCAGTCGTTTGTTTTTGTTTTGAACCACCGCTTTTGTTTAAATGGCGCCTCTGATTGGTCAGTTATTTTACCTTGTCACGTCTCAAAATACCTTCTGTGTTTTCTCCGATGAATTTGAAGAGCTTATCAAAATAATTATGTTTAAAACAGTTCTATACGTTTTAATCCGGTATGGAATCAGATGAATCCATTGATTTAGTAGATTCCGAGGCAGTAAACGCTTATGGATCGGTTGTTGCTGAAGAGGAACGCGAGAATCCTTGCGAGCATTTCGAAGAAGGTGAAAATGTTGATCTACCACGTTTTTATCCATTCATCAATTTTTTTCAATTGAGGTTTGCCATCCTTGTTAAATAGGACTAAGGGTCAGTTGAAGTTTCCTGCCCGTGGAGAGGATCTTGCGCTAGAAAGAGTGGTCGAGGTTGTTGTCCATCCAAAGCAGCAAATAAGAATTGTAACGCAAACTGTCAGTGTCGCTGACGTTCCTGCAATGAAGTGGCTAAACTTAAAATAATTAGACGTCCGGCAGTCCGACATTTTTCCATATTTCTCTTCAAAATCCAAAAAATATTTATACAAAAATGTTCTAACTTTATTTTCAATCCTCAAGCGCTTCCAGGCAGCCTAAAATTTCGAACTTGATGTTTTTTGCTAACCCTGTATACAAAGTATGAAGCCATCCAAGCGCTTGACACTTAAAAACTTTTCAATGACACGGTTGGACACAGTCCTCAAACAACTCCATTTTTTCTCTTTGAAATATACCAATTTTTCGTTGGAAAATATTCTACCTTCATTTACAATCCTCAAGCGCTTCTAGAAAGTTAAAAAATGCCAACGTTATCCGTTTCGCTGACCTTGTACACAGAGTGCGAAGAGATGCAAGCGTGACACTAAGAAAATTTTCATCGGATACTACCGGACACGGTCTTCGAATACCTAAACGTCCGGCAGTCTAATATTTTTCCATATTTCTCTTTGAAGAATACTAATTTCTACTGGAAATATTTTATCTTCATTCAGAATCCTCAAGCACTTCTAGAAAGGGAAAAAATTTGAACGTTGTCCTTTTCGCCGACTCTGTTCAAAGAGTACGAAGAGATCCAAGCGTGACACTTTTCTTCGGATTCTTCCGGACAAAATTCAAAATACTGTAAGGAAACTGACGGACGACGAAAGTATTTACCGTAAAACAGTTGAATATATGTCTAAGATGGCTCTTGAGAAAGGCGATTTTAGAAGGTTTTCAGTGATCTGGGAATTTCGTTTTAAAGGAAATTAGGTCGTGGCGCGCGTTGCATTAAGGTTGGAAATGGGCCTTTAAGTTGGTAAATTCTGTAAAGACATTACGTATACACCAACCAACTCGCCCACAGAGTGAGAAGACTCTAGGAATGCTTGAAATTATATAAAGAATGTCTGTGATCGAGAAACGAGCAAGGAATATTCCACAATAGTGCAAATAATCGTAAAAAGATGATCGCGGAAAAGCGATTGCGTGACGCTCGGTAAGTTGTAATATGACATGCCATCACGTATCAAACGAAAAAACAGTCTGAATTCTCAGTCTGCATTTTGTACCCAGTCTGCAGTCTGCATTTTGTACCCGGTCTGCAGTCTGCATTTTGTACTGACTGGATTGGTATTACTGTTTTTGTTTGAGCGAGCCTCAAGTCTGGACCGAAATAATGGAGCTCGAAAGAAAATTTTAGACTATCTTGGCCGCTATGATTGATGTGTTGACTGTATGTTGAAGAACTCCCGAGGACAAGCACAATGATAGAGCAATGATTACTTTATACCAACTTAAGAAGAGCGCAAATATGCCGCTTGCTAATATTGCTGCCTCTGATGCTGATGCTCTTCTGCATGGTCACGGCGTGTTTTGAAATGAACCCGCTACGGGTCCTCTAGGTGTGAATATTTCGGTTTCTCGACTCAAGTTGTATTTTAAGAAATTCGGAAATGTGATTTGAGGTTATCATTGTTTTTGAACCATACACATATTTTATTTCTTTCCACGTTAGTTTCTGAGCTTCATCGAAATTAATTTTGACTTTCACTAAGTGAGGAGGGGAAGCATGCGAGACTCTTCAGTTCACGGTCCACGGAATGCAACTTCCGTCCACGGTCGACAACTTCCGACGGGAAGTTCTGAACACGTACGCAAGCAGGAACACGTAACTACTACATTTTAGGAATATTGCAAGGTAAGCGGAAGTGCAAATACCTCTCCAGTTATTTGCTCATTCATTCACAAGGAACCTACGAAGACAGTCTTAAAGTTTTTATATTTGAATTCAGAGCTGTGGCAACTAGAATTTACATTTCTGTTTGTAGTCAAGTAACTGCGAAATTATTTTATACTGTCTTTCTTGATCTACTGTCGTAAGTTAAGTTTCTATTCAATTGCGTTCAAGTTTTTGCGTGAGGCTGTGTAAGAATCACGTAACCGGCAGTAGCGTTTTATTTCTTGCCAGTAGAAAGCGTTGTCTTCGTTAGATAATTTTCATTGCTAGATGATTCCAACCAAGTCAGTCTTTTCGTTAGTATTTGCTGGCGCCGTTTTAGTTTTGTTAAGAGTTTCACTACCGAACCTGATTACGCCACAAATTGTAAGTTCGTCTCTATTTCATGTAGCTTTGTCATTATCCTTGTTGTTGTTTGTATCAATTGTTTATTTTCAGTCGAATCACATTTACACATCAACACATCTTTACATCTAAATATTTGTCTCTTTGGAAATGAGATTAAACGTGCATTCATGTTGTGGCGCAAAACATCTAGTATTTACCTAAAAGAGCAAAAAAGCTTCATGATATTGTATCAAATGGCGACATATGTTTTTCTTTCTAAACATGAAATAAAGAAATCCAAGGGACATTAGTTATTATCAGACAGAAATAAAAAATCAAGCAGTGACAGTTTCGCATGGAAGTCCAGCCATTCATCAATTAAACTCCGATTTCTAAATTTTATATTATATTATGTAAACTTTAGCTCCCAAAAGTTTGGACGGACTCCAAATGAAATTATAAAAGAAAAAAATTAAGGCTTCCAACTTACCTGAGACGCGGTTTGGAGCTTGTGTGATGTGCGGCAGTGCTTAACATGAATGTCTGTAAAAAAAACCTTCCAATGCCCTAAAAGTACTATTATTTTTAATAACAACACTCCTTGCGCATTGGGTGGTAATGATCGAAACAAAAACTTAGATGACCCAAATCATGACGCTACACTTTAACGTTATGACTGATTTGGGTCATGACATCATAGGTTTTGTTTATTCTGAGAATAAACGAACCCTGATTCAAATTTTCTGAATTGAAAAATTGCCAAAATGGATATCAGTACTGATTTCACACAATCTAAGTTTTACAAGTTTTGGTCAATTTATTGTAAACGTTAAGAGTTACTCCTTAATGGGCCTAGACAACAACATATTCCAAATGATATCACGCCAGAATAACAATCATTTATTATGAAATTCTTGTAAAATCGAATTTTTACAGGAAGTTGCTCTAAAAATTCAAATTTTAATAACAACACTCCTTGCGCATTGGGTGCTAATGATCGAAACAAAAACTTAGATGACCCAAATCATGACGCTAAACTTTAACGTTATGACTGATTTGGGTCATGACGCCATAGGTTTTGTTTATTCTGAGAATAAACGAAACCTGATTCAAATTTTTCCGAGTTGAAAAATTGCCAAAATGGATATTAGTACTAATTTCACACAATCTAAGTTTTACAAGTTTTGGTCAATTTATTGTAAACGTTAAGAGTTACTCCTTAATGGGCCTAGACAACAACATATTCCAAATGATATAACGCCAGAATAACAATCATTTATTATGAAATTCTTGTAAAATCGAATTTTTTCAGGAAGTTGCTCTAAAAATTCAAATTTTAATAACAACACTCCTTGCACATTGGGTGCTAATGATCGAAACAAAAACTTAGATGACCCAAATCATGACGCTAAACTTTAACGTTATGACTGATTTGGGTCATGACGCCATAGGTTTTGTTTATTCTGAGAATAAACGAAACCTGATTCAAATTTTTCCGAGTTGAAAAATTGCCAAAATGGATATTAGTACTAATTTCACACAATCTAAGATTTACAAGTTTTAGTCAATTTATTGTGAACGTTCAGAGTTGCTCCGTAATGGGCCTAGGCAACAACATATTCCAAATGATATAACGCCAGAATAACAATAATGTATTATGAAATTCTTGTAAAATCGAATTCATTAGATTATCAGCTATATCCATGAGGAATATAAACTAACTACAGTGGCCTTGTAACCGCAGATATGTTATGGAGTTACTCGGGAAAAAGGAGAACATTAAGTAATGGCAAGGGCATTGTGAAAATGATCGGAAAAAAAAAATATATATATATAAATATATACATTCAGCTGTAAACATAAGCCAGTAAGGTCGCAATGGTAGAGAAGCGATTCACAGTCTTAATCGGTTGTGCGACGTTAATCCTCGTTTTCTTTTATTTCATTTCATGCAAATTGTTTATTTTCAGTTTCTAACTGTCAATAGCAACTATATTGAACATCAGAAATTAATAAGGGTGGTCACCGCTTTCGGTTTGAGGCGCAGTACAAACAAGTATGTTTTGCTGACTCATTCATCGTTGCAGAACTGTCTGATGTGTCATAAGTTCAACCATGAGCTAAAATGGTTTTCCTAAGCTGTTGTCACAGCGGATGTGAAAGGAACAGCGCCGAAAGAGGGACTGAAATCGCTTGAACGTAATTTAGATGTGGCGCTCACTCAGTATTGGTTTCGCCGTGGAATTACACAGCAGCATAGCAAATCATGGGTGGTTTCAAAATTAAAGGTTTGGCCAAACTTATTATAAGGCTCCGTCTACTATAGGATTACTTTTGACTCAAGTAATAATAGTACATTAAATGCGAAGACGGTATTTTGTGCTGATGGCTTCTCGCAACATGGGACGAGACTTAAGATTACGTGCAATATTCCAGGATTTACTATCCGCTCCACGATATCGAGACAGTTTCTAAGATTGGAAAAGATTATTCATAATTGTCTTCTATAATTCTGAGATTAGTTACTTCATCTCATTTTAATTCCCCAGTCCTCATAGCTCTCCTTATCGTTGTTATCCATAAGGTTAAGCTCTGAACACAAAGGTAGCTACGCAAACTACTAAGTACCAAACATTGAAAATCTAACTTATTCGAGGAACAGGGTAATTTGGTATTATCAACTGAGTTGATAACGTAAATTGGCCACCGTAAAGAGTTTTGCGACATAGAAAGGAATGACAAGGACGCTGGACAACAGAATCTCCCCAATCATTCTACGCATATGTATCATATGGTAGCAAACGGTGGCCAATTTACGTTTTCAACTAAGTTGATAACACTAAATTACCCTGTAATACTCTCCTACTGACTCAGCGCCACAGTTTCTTAAGAAACTTACCCCCTTTATTCATTTATCGTTTAAGAAAGTAGCAATTGTCATAGCCACACATCTTTAGGTTGGTTGGAGTTTTCTAACATTGTCGGAGTTAAACGGGAAGATTGATTTTTAATAAGCTCGCATAAAACCGTCTCAGTCTTGAACTTTTATCCGCACTATATTTCTAAAATTTTACATTCGCTTTGGACTGTACCTATACGGTAATTTGAAATCAAAAGTTTGTTCTCAAACCAAAATCTTACGTCACGAACTTTAATTACCACTTTCCACATCCATTTTTAAAGCGCAAAATACAGGATCTCAAATTTTTCATTTGCTTCTTGGAGCAAAGCGAAATAATATCATATTACAATGGATATTGGCCTTGCTTTTTTACCTTTATTTATAGAAACCCTTTCGCTCGCTCAGTGGCGTGTATATATATATTTATCACTGCAAACCTAAAGTTTACAATCTCAGCATGTTACATGTGTTTTCCCATCTGTGTTTGCTTACTGGCCTATTCTCTTCTTAGCATCTGCCACAGTCAGACCAGAATCAAGATGAAGGTTCCCATGAAACGCTTCGTGAGTTTAGTCTCAGTACAATACTTGCGGTAACACTACAATGTCTGTTACTCTGGCATGACAGAAGTGTAACAAAGTCACTTAATTTAGAAAATTGCCTAAGCTGTCAAAAGGTGAGACGCTTCAACCTCAAGAAATTGAGCAGTATTCCAACGACGTGGTGGCTCACCTCCCAAGAGAAAATCGTGCACTAATCGCATCTCTAGAGGCAAAAGCTCCAGAGCTGTATCAGCACATGTGCCAGAACCTTTCCCACTGTGGGAAAGACTTTACGAAAGTTGGAAAGAGGAACAACAGAGACACTTGACACGAATATAGTAAGTTGGTGTTTCTTTTTAAACCAATGATTTACTTGAATATATTAAAAACAGAAAAGCAGAAATACTTGGCCAGATAACTTTTATTTCATGATGATCTAAAAAGGATATATCTCAACAGACGGTCTCCATGGATACCAAATAGTCAATACAAACACAATACAAAATCCTTGCTATAAGAAAAAGAACCATGCAGATAAACTTGACTAACTGATTCTGATCTTGTAATGTTTCTAGTTTATTGTTCATTCAAATATTTTTTTGCGCAAAGTGAAGCCTTTTTGTGCGGAAACACATGGATTGATGCCGCAGTCAATACAAGTTTGTGACAAGAATGGCCTGCTTCATGAACTGAATCTGACTGAAATTGAAAAGGTGAGCTAACCCGCACAAAAATTGACATGTAGAGTGTCAAGAATAAAGTTAGTGAGGTGACTGCCATGACTTAATAGTCAAGAAAGTTCTATCAAAAAAATTAATTACTTTTGACACAGTTTTCTGAAGGAGAAAAGTGTTCAACGTTGACTTCTTAATTGAATTCTTAGTACCCTTCCAGGTGTAAAGTTTACACATTCCACCAGAAGAATTTACCACTAAGAAATCAAAAAAGACGTATATCAAGTGCTGATTCAATATGACCACGAGACAGTAACGCATCCAGCTTGGCAAAGTTTCGACCGTTTCCAGCTCGAATTTTTTTTGGAAATTTCCTACATGTTTCCAGGTTTTTCTCTCAAAAGAAAGGAGGATCTCAGGGAAAAGAACAATTTTGTCAAGCCAATGATGAGTACGTCATGTTTAAACAGTTTTCGCAAGTGTGGTGTTTTCCATCAAAATTAAGGCATTCCTGGCAAAGTTTAGACCGTTTCCAGCTCGAATCTTTTCTTAAACTTCCTACATCTTTCCAGGTTCTTCTCTCAAAATCAAGGAGGATCCCATGGAACAGAACAACTTTGTCAAGCCAATGATGGGTACGTCATGTTTAAACAGTGTTCTCAAGTGTGCTGTTTTCTAGCAAAAAATCAAGGCATTTGATTATGGCACGGTTTGATGCTACTCTGGTTTAAAGATTTAAAGAATGTAACCACTCATTGACTCATTAAATCAGAGTAGCATCAAACCATGTCTGATTGTGCAACTGGTTACCTTGTGAACTTTAATACATTTGATTATGGTTACACATGCTTTCTTCAAGGTGTATTGAGAAGAAGAAAAAAAAATTAATTTTGACAAAAACAAAGCCATGCTCAGTCAAGTGGTTATTGTCTATTTATGAATTATTCAAGATCTCTATTATAAAGCCGAGAATCAGTTGACTCAACGTTTTTCTATTTTAGAAATGTAACGTTGACCTGTAATAAGAAAGAAATGAAATTATTTGTGTGTTAATGATCAACACTTTTCTAATACCCAAATCAGCTAAGATCTGATCCTCCCATGCACTTCCGATTAAAAAAACCAAAGGAAATTTAGATGGCATGTCAAGAGATCGTCCTCTAGGTGATGATTCCATTACCATCTTACTCTACCTGAATATTTAATTGATAAAGGAGGAAGATTTGCATGTTTATTATTTCCGGGTGGTAAGTGTTTAAATGAAAAGTTCTGCGCACACAGGAAATATAAACTGTTTTGGTTCTTTTCTCTACAGTTTTTTCCTTTTATCTGAATGCCTTTATTTTGCCTTCGTCACAGATCAGGGCGTCGGTAACACTACAATGACTTCGTTACTCTTGCATGACAGAACTGTAACAAAGTTCATAATTCTACCTAGTTAAATTTAAAAAACTGCCTGAACTGTCACAATTGCTGAAAGACTTACATGAGAAAAACAAGAAGACGAACAAAGGAAAAAAACAAAAAGTATACAAGAAAAAGAAAGAAATGCAAAGAAAACAAACAAACAAACAAAACGAAACCAATCCAAGAAAAGCGTTGGGTAGCCTTCTGAAGGCGGGTAAACAGTATTTATAATAGGACTATTACTTTTCTCTGGCTTCAACCGTTATTTTCGCGTCGAAGTACTGAGCATGCGCTTGCCGAAAATACGTTCGCCTTTCAGGTTCAGTCAGTCGTGCACATAGATGGGAACAATCGGGGAAGTACAGCGGATTTCATTTGTTCTCATTGTATTGATTACCTATATCTTTATGACTCACCACCAGATCCCTGCCCTGGTAACTGGTCACACTACAGTGGATTCTGTTACCACGTGAGCAATATCCCATGCAATCAGAGACAGGCAAGGTCCTTTTGTCATTCTCTGCATGGAGATCTAGTGAAGGTAACTAGCGCTGAGGAAAACGAGTTCGTCTTGTACCTGGCAAGGAAGTTCGCACGGAATGGTAAACCTGCGTGGATTGGTCTGTATTATCATGCACCCTCCCGTGCGTATTGTTGGACTGACAATTCGGTACCGACATACACTAACTGGGCTCCAAAAGAACCCAGTGGGTATTCTAAAGAACCGTGCGCAGCGATGTACACTGGGTTATCGCATCTCCCCACGTGGGCAACTGGATACTGGAACGATATTCTGTGCACAGTCAAATATAACACCGTCTGTAAGAGGTTGGCCTAGTTGCAATGATAAATAAGTCAACATACATTCAATAATCTTTTCGTTGGGTGCTGGTAAATTAGTGCAATACAAAGTGTTGTTGCAAAACTATGGCGTTTAAATCATAATCCCGAGCCAAGTAGGTAGTGCTTAGTGTGAATTTTCATGATAACCGGAGAACGTCTTGTATAATAGCTTAAAATAATACTTCGAAAAGGTGTTTAAATATTTGTTTTGCTTTTGACAATGACACTTAAACCCTTCATCTTCGACTATGCACTTCTAGTAATGCACTGCAAGAGAATATCAATATTATCTTATGCACTGTAGGTTGCATTCCCTTAATTTCTTTTAAATGTACCTTTACTTTCGTTTAGTTTATCGTAAAAGGTACACGTGCGAGCGTAGCTGAACTTTTAGATGTTATAAACTGACTGAGTTCCCCTGAGTGCCCTGATTAACCAAAAACCCTTTCATTTATTGCACCGTTAACCCTTTAACTCCCAGAACAAATTTGTAATTCTCCTTACTGTAAACCATACAATTCTTATAATGTTAGTTGTGAGAATTTGGTATTGGATCAATTAATTACCTCCAAAATGATAGTTTTTTTAATTCTCATAACTTGTCTGGTTGATATTGTTTTGATATTGTAAGGAGAAATTCTGTCTTGGTCACTCATGGGAGTAAAAGGGTTAAACGCATACAAAATTGAAGCATACTTCATGAAAGCAATACACCACTCTTTCTCTCAGCTTACCGGTGTAATGACCCACGCGGGATGTTGAGAGAACACTCAATTAGTTTAACCCTTTAACTCCCATGAATGACCAAGACAGAATTTCTCCTCACAATATCCTTACAATATCAAGTACACAAGTGATGAGAATAAAGAAAAAGATAATCTAGGGGATTATTAGTTGATCCAATAACAAATAATTCCGAACCAACATCATAAGAATTGTATGGCAGACAGTAGATAGAATTACTGATGAGATCTTGAGAGCAAGTAGTGTTCTCCCAACATCCCGCGTGGGTGATTAAGTCGGTAAATCGATACAAAGTTCTGTTGCTTAAACAATCGTCATTGCATGAGCAAACAGTGTTTTACTAGTCCTGCGATCTTGGTCAGCCCGCTAATAGCGCGTATTTTCCTTTACGTGATGAGCGTAGATTACATATCTTTCTCTGATGCAATTTCAGATATGTTATTTGCCGGCTGGGCAGCATGAAATAATTATTATCATTATATTGGATAATGACCAGAATTTCCTTGTTTAATTTTCCAAGCAACGCGTTCAAAACTTAGGCTTCGGTGAGTAAGACGAAAGGTTGACAACGTCCTTTATTATTCCACTTATTGAGTTTTCATGGACTGAGACGAGGCGAGTTCCATAAAAAAGGGAAAAAAAGCAGGCTAATATACAGCCATCTTGACCTCACGCTTGGTTAATACCGGATATATAAGAAGGGACTTGACTCGTGTTTCTCCCTACACTTCTTTCGTGTACCTCAAAACTAAACAGTTGTCCTCCAGCCCTCATAACTTAGTAAATATTACCAATTAGCGAGCGTTAAAGGTGTGGCTTACTCATAATTGGTCTGAAGCACTCGACGAATGAAAATTTAATAAACAGAATGCTGATAAACTTTGAGATTTGAGAAGAGTCTGATGCGGACTGAGTTAGAATCATATTTGCCGTGGTAGGAAAACCTGAAAACCTTCAAAACTCAGACTCTCCATTTCGTTTTTTCTTTGAAGATTTTCGTCTCTGCTCACCTTATAATAACGTAAATGACGGCGCTTGGCAAGTTTACGAAATTTTGTTTCGTTCTTCCGTTGCTATTTTCCGGTTCGCTTGTTCGGAAATTTCACTTTCAATGAACGAAATAAAGCTAGAGAGAAGTCCAGGAAATGGTCAGACATAGTATAATTTGGCAGATGGCGTGACAGCTTTAGCTCAACTTTATGTCTTATACTCTGATAGAACACGCTTTTCAACTAATAAAAGCGCGCGTTACATCCGAACCATATAACGATTCGACTGATTTTTGCAAAACTGTTATCTATGCCATTATAAATTACTCCAAAGGATATACCTTGACTTGAAATAACTTGATCAGAGAGGCGCGCTTTGAAACTGTTTCCTCGGTCAGGATAACATGTGCCGTATTCCAGACATAAACAAAAAGTTTTTTGGCATGCATGAAAATAGGAAATGTGCTCTATCGTTTCAGTTCACTTTGGCATGCTTAAGCAAGAATAATTTTTAATGGAACCTGTGAGAGACATTTATGTGCCTTGCTGGGTGAGGTAAGAATATCACACTCCAGTTCAATTAATCTAGGTTCGGAAGAACACTTCATGCGCTCTTAAAAACCGACGGAATACAAAGATTTTCCAACTGTTCCATGCATTCAAAATCTCAATTTAGTCATCAGACTTCATGACACGAGAGCGTTTTCGGATGTTTCCCATGTTTCTTCACAGGGTGCCGCCATACGTTAACGTTGTTTACCCAACGTTCAATTTGCAAATAAAAGACGAAGGTAGGTAGGAGATGGAGGGAAGAATCTGGAAGGTCCAAAGCATTGCTTGAGCTGTTTTTTTTAAAATAAAACTGAACTGTTGAGCAGCACTTTGCGAACAATATTCTCTGACGCGTTTTTTCAAACTGTCGTAGACTTCTTCGGGAAGTTTTACAAGTTAAAATTTAACGCCTGTATTTATAAGCCATAGTTAGCGGCTATAATGGGGCCAGTGACCAAAAAGGCTTGGCCGGACATACAAACAGGAACAAGGGAAATTTGAAAATCTTATGGGCAAGGTGAGAAAAAGACTATGAGACCCTTAACACGGGGTTTAAAAATGTCCGATATGCCATAAGTAAGCTTGTGGAGCAGGGATACATGGAGATTAATGGAAATAAAGTTCACCTAAATCTCCATCTGGGAGGTGACTACAAGGTTAGTGAAATCCATGTGCTTTATGGTTTTTGATTTAAGATAGAAAATATCATGACTTAAAAAGTGACTATTAAAAAGTTTTCCTTTTCTTTTTACTATAATTCCTGTTAGTTGCGATGGGCATGAAAGGGGCAACATCAAACAATTCTTTCATCTGGTGTTTAACCCACAAAAAAGTAAAGACAGGCAAGTACCACTATTAACTTTTAGAACATTTTTTGCAATAGTTAATCAATATGTTACTATGTTTCATGAATATAACTATATTAACAATGAACATTGTGCAATTATACCTGTAGGTGCAACATGTCTGTCATCTATGACACTTACAATTCCCAAAGCATGAAGCGAAAGTTTGGGCCCAATTGGACAAGAGATCCTGAATGCTAATCTCTGCCATTGTTCGATATCCCTCCAGAGAACATAGTCATCGATGAGCTTTATCTAATACTACGAATAACCGATAGACTTGAGCGGGGACTGATTCTAGAAGTACTCGACTGGGATGAGGTTTCTCAAAATGGCAGTATTCAGCTTACTTTTGTAAATGTTCTTATTTTGTGTTAGACTGAAAATAAAGACAAACCTGCTAATCAGAGAAAAACAGGAACACCTCGATAAACTTCTGGCGACAGTTAGATCAATAGTAATCTCCTTAAATGTGTGGAAAAATACAGAAAAAAAATTGAGTGGACTTCTCTTCTTGGAGCTGCGAAGCGTTCTCTGCTCAAGAACCAGTGAACTGTTCAGTCTGTAGTTATCTCGCTCTTTTTGTTTAATTATTTATCAGTCGTCGCTAACGGTTAGTCGTTAGAAAAGAGTCGTTAGACTGTACATGGGTAGATGCAGTCGTTTGGCTTAAAGTTATAACAATTTTGGAATAAAGCAGATTTTTTAAACATAATTTTATTGACATACCATACGATAGGAAAGCGCACAAAATCGAGTCACTGGCCGAACGCACTAGCACTGGTTGGTTGGCTGTTGAATAATAGAATTCTTTTTTTAATGTTTACAGTTCTTATATCAAATAATAATCAGCCTCTGATTATCATCCTAACTAAAAACTACATTGATATGATGGGCAAAGATGAAGACTAAGAAGAAATCGCAGCTTTGCTTATTTGTTATGAAAAATACCATATTTCCTATTAACGTGCCTCTATTTAGAAGAAGACGTCAAAATTGCAAGAAAATAAGTAACATACTTGACTGCACCTCATGTCCCAAATACTAAAATTCGACTTCATCTGTGATTATAATGCAAACTGAAACAGAGGAGCAAGAAATCTATTTTTCAAATAGAGCGCGTACCGCAGATTGGTTTAAATTTGCACTTCTAAGAGAAGCTGAAGTGATTGTATCTGTATCCTCTTATCCCTTTCACTTCTTACTTCGACAATATAAATCCCTAAAAAAAAATTTATTAGGTACACCATTTATTTTTTTTGTGTGCGAGTATCCCGTAACTTTCACGTTTTTAAATTCTTTTGGATACACTTAAACTAAGCTTGGAAATTTGATGCAGTACAACCACACTCTTTGATTATGTGATCGTTTTGACAATTTAGCATGCGCTAACGCTCGAAAGGTCAGCTTGGATATTCTTTACGGTGGCCAATTTACATTATCAACTTAGCTGATAAAACCAAGTCATATCATTATACTTCCTTACCGACGCAGTACCACAGTTTCTTTAGAAACTTCCGCCCTTTATTTTTGGATCAAAATAGATCAGTGGTCACTGTTTGACTCAACTATTCGTTGCGTCTATAAAAGGCTTTTAAAACGAGCCACTTTACTTAGATTAATTAAGTCTTTGTTCCTCCTCCAAGGCACGAACACAAAATACTTCTACCCATTATCATTCTTGCACATAACCTCAGTAATGGCAGATTTCTACTAACACGACATGCTTTCATGTCTCTAGCTATTTTCCATCTGGAACGGTTTAGGAGAGAAACAATTTCCATGGCCATACATCCCTGTGTTGGTTGAAGTTTGGTAGCACTGTCAGAGCTAAACCGCAAGATTGATTTTCGATAAGCTCGTATAAAGTCTAGAACTTACTTAACAGGGGGGAAAATTAATTAAAGTCAAGGGTGAAACGTGTTGTTTACGCTCTTTGAAGAATCATTTCTCTATACCAATACAATTTTGATGAAAGAAAGCCCGCAAGAAAATGTTTTTGTTGACTTCAAAGTCTTGGTCATTGTATGTCTATTAGATGATAAATTCCTAAAAGCAACATTTAAATCCTAGGTTTAAGACTTTTTAAACACGAAAATACGTGGATGAATACGAAATCTCGCTTAACTTTAGCGCAGGCTACCTTATCGTGGATCAGTTTATGTAATTGTATTTACTTGCTTTCAAACCTCGTAAGCTCATGGAGAGAGACATCTTGTACTAATTTAATGTCAGTTTTTTAAGGTAATATGCCACGAAGCCGATCGAGCTGTCTATCCGACATGGTCATAGCAAACCTTTATGCGGCAAAAGATTCGACAGACGAAGCGCTAATGCTCGAAAGGTCAACTTGGATACTCTTTACGGTGGCCAATTTACATTATCAACTTAGTTGATAAAACCAAGTTTAATTATTATACTCCCTCACTGACGCAGTACCACAGTTTCTTTTG